AAAAAAAAAAAAAAAAAACCACTGATGAAAAAAAATTGAAGGCAACACAAAGAAATGGAAAGGCATTCAATCCATGCTCATGAATTGGAAGAGCAAACACTGTTAAAATGTCTACACTACCCAGAACAATCTACACAGTTAATGTAATCTCTATCAAAATAGCAAGAGCATTTTTCACAGATCTAGAACAATCCTCACATTTGAATGGAACCACAAAAGACCCCTAGTAGCTGAAACAATGTTGAAAAAGAAAAAGCTAGAGGCATCACAATTCCAGACTTCAAGTTATGTTACAAAGATGCTATAATCAAAAGAGTATGTTAATGGCACACAGACTCACAGATCAATGGCACAGAAAATCCAGGAGTAAACCCACAACTATATAGTCAACTAAGATTTAACTAATTAATAATATAAGAATATGCCACAGGGAAAAGAGTCTCTTCAACAAATGGTGTTTGGAAAACTGGACAGCCACAGGCAAAAGAATGAAACTGGACCAATTTCTTTTATCAGACACAAAAATTAATTCAAAATGCATTAAAGACCTAAATGTGAGACCTGAAACCATAAAAATGCTAGAAAAGAGCACAGGCAGTAATTTCTCTGACATTGGCTGCAACAAATTTTTTCTAGATAGGTCTCTCCTGAGGCAAGGGAAACAAAAGCAAAAATAACCAATTGGGACTACAGCAAGCAAAATAAAAAGCTTCTGCACAGTGAAGAAAACAATCAACAAAACTAAAAGGCAGCCTACGGAATCAGAGAAGACACTTACAAAAAATATATCCGATAAAGGGTTAGTATACAAAATACATAAAGAACTCCTATGACACAAATACCCAAAACCCAACAATTACCCAAAACCAAATAATCCAATTAAAACTGAGCAGAAGACCGGAGAACAGACATTTCTCTAAAGAAAACACCCAAATGGCCCACAGACACATGACAAGATGCTCAACATTACTCATCATTACGGAAATACAGATCAAAAGCATGACAAGGTATCACTTCACACCTCAGGATGGCAAAAATTAACACAAGAAACAGGTATCAAAGAAGATGTGGAGAAAAAGGAACCCTTTTGCTGTTAATGGGAATGCAACTGGTGCAGCCACTGTGGAAAACAATATGGCAGTTTTTAAAAAAATTAAAAACAACATTACCTGACAACCCAGTAATCTGCGTATTTACCCAAAAAATCTTTTAAAAATACTAATTCAGAGACCCCTAGGTGCTCAGTCGAGTTAAGCCAGGCTAAACCAACAATTTCCCAAGTGCACATCAAGAAGGCCCCTCAGGGTGCCTGGGTGGCTCAGTCGTTAAGCGTACACTCAGGTCGTGATACCAGGGTCCTGGGATCGAGCCCTGCACCAGGCTCCCTGCATCAGGCTCCCTGCTCAGCGGAGAGTCTGCTTCTGCCTCTCCCTCTGCCACTCCCCCTGCGGAAGCGCTCTCTCTGTCAAATAAATAAAATCTTTTAAAATAAAAAGCTCAAGAGCCTCCAACCAAAACAGCCCTGCTTTTGATTTATACTTTTTTTAAAAAGATTTTATTTGAGAGAAAGAGAGAGCAGCGATCACGCTCGAGAGAGCATGAGTCGTACGCAGAGCAGAGGGAGAGAAACAGACTCCCCACTGAGCAGGGAGCCTGATGTGGGGCTCAATCCCAGAACCCTAAGATCAAGACCTGAGCTGAAGGCAGACACTTAAACGACCAAGCCACCCAGGCCACCCCTGATTTATATTTTTTAAATGAGTAAGATTTTACTTAAAGAAAGGGTTCTTGGGCTGAAACAAACTGGAAAACTAGACGCATTAAGTTTATTTCACAGAGCTACCATGGAAAAAAAAAATAACTTTAGAGACATGCACTCCCACCATACTAACAAATTACATACAACAATGTGCTCATGTACATTTTGAAACAAGAACAGACTATAAAGGCACCTGGGTAGTGCAGCTGGTTAAGCATTCAACTACTGGTTTCTGATCAGGTTGTGATATCAGGATCATGAGATGGAGCCTTGTGGCGAATTCTGTGCTCAGCACAGGGTCTACTTCAGATACTCTCTCCCTCTGCCCCTAATTCCCTCCCCTCACCACCATGCACATGCGTGCTCAATCTCAAATAAATAAAATATATATTTTTAAATATTTTATTTATTTGACAGAAAGCACAAGCGCACAAGCAGGGGGAGCAACAGGCAGAGGGAGAGGGAGAAGCAGGCTCCCTGCTGAGCAGGGAGCCCGATGTGGGGCTCAGTCCCAAGACTCTGGGATCATGACCCAAGCCGAAGGCAGACGCTTAACTGACTGAGCCACCTGGAAGCCCCAAGAAATCTTAATTTAAAAAAAAAAAAAAAAAGACTGTAAAAAGATAAAGATAAAAATAGAATTCCAATGAGAAGCCTGGCTGGCTAAGTCAGTAGAGCACAAGACTCTTGATCTTAGGGTTGTGAGTTTAAGCCCCAGGTGTGGCATAGTTTACTTAAAGTAAAATTAAAAAGTAAATAAATAAAGTCCCATTATTTCTACATCCCAATAATCTTCTTACATTCTGCCTTCGAAGACCACCTAGATAACAGGCCTATATCTGGGATGTGGCAGTGGCAGAGACCAGAAGTAAGAAAAAATAAAAGGAACCAGAAATGATGGGACTTCCAGCCTGGGTCATCAAGGTGAGAGAGACTTAAGAGGATTCTCGGGGATGAAGGGGGAGGAGTAACAAACCAAGTTAAAAAAAAAAAAAAAAAAGGAAAAGAAAAAAAAAAAAAAAAGCCAAGTTAAACATGATAGGCACTACCACCTGCCCTGTTTCTCTGGAAACACCCAGAGGGGCAAGAAGGAATTAGCCTGAGAGTTCAGACCGCACGTCAGAGCAAGAGCTGTAGATTTAGGGATGCTGAGAATCGGGTTCAGAATTGAAACCGAGGGAGTGGCTATTACCAGTGAAGACAAACTGAATGTAGAACAAGCCTTCCGGAATAGGAGGAGGAAGAGAAAAGGGAGATCCAGGGGCACGTAGGTGGCTCAGCAGATTAAGTGTCTGCCTTCAGCTCAGGTCATGATCTCCACGTCCTGGGATCATCCTGGGATCGAGCCTGCTTCTCCCTTTGCTCCCTGCTCTTGCTCTCAGTATCTCTCTCAAATAAATAAAACCTTTAGAAAAGGAAAGGAAAGGAAAGAAAACAGAAAAGAGATCCAGCCACAGAGAATACAGGAGGAATACAGAAAGCAAGAAGGGGAACGCCACAGTGCCAAGGGATGCCAAAGAGCTGAGCAGGAAGGGGCCAAAGGACACAGCAACT